TGCTTGCCACTTCCCACTGCTTCATCATCCCGTTTATATTCCCCCACTTTCCTGACTCCCTTCCCCCTCAATTTGGAGAAACACTCCTCGAGGCTCGCTGCCTCGGGATGGAGAGGAGTGCCCTCTGGTGGCAGCTCCTGGTATGCCAGAAATGACTCCCGCTGTTAGCTTGCTGGGGGGATGTCCTTCCTACCCTTCCCCACACTCCACTCTCCCTCACTGTCCAGCCCAGCACAACACCTCTAAAGACCACATACTCAAGTTTCTGTGAAGTCAATAGCTGATTCGGGAGTAGGGAAGGGGTGGTTCCTAATAAATTTGAGAGTTCATCAGCATACCCCCAAACTCTTTTTCCCTCAATTTCTTTTTTCCCTGCCCAGCTCTACACCCATAAGTGCTCTTGCTGCCCTGCCCTTCCATCCCAGTGCAAACAGCCTTTGTCTCTTGAAGTGCTATGGAGTCGTTTGGTTTCAGTTTTTCTGTCTGTGAGATGGGGTAATAATGCCTGATCTGCCTTTTTCCATTAGGATTAAATAACAAGACGATGAAGGAAAGTGGAAACTTGCTGAGAGCTTACTATGCATCAGGTGCTGGTTTCAGTTCTTCACACTATTGTCTTATTGGACAGAGAGGCCAAAGAAAAGGCTCACAGTCCCGCAGCTCATCTGAACAGAGGACAATCTGACTATGAGAACCTCTGCCCTTAACCACTATGCTTATTGCTACGTGTGAAAACCTTTGAAAACTTTGTAGAGTCAGGGGTCGCTATTATAATTAAGATTTTTTTTTGTACTCTGCCTCTTATGGTTAGGGCCATGAATGAACTTCCCAGGCTAGAATGGTATAGTAACTTTAGGTGGGGGAGGGCAGGGCAGCATCACCCTAAACCCCTCTATGAAATAGTAACTAATCAAGAGGCCTGTAAGTGACCTGGTCCCCTCTCGTATCACTGAATTCATTTCTTCACCCAGCACCTGTGCTGTGTCGGGTTGTAGACACCCCAACAGCCAGGTCATAGGAAGGTCTAGTCCCTCGGTCCTGCAGGGAGACAGGACACAAGAATCCCCTGGGTGAAGTCCTGTAGCAGTATAGTTTTGGGCACTGCCTGAGGGTCCCCAAAGCCTGTAAGTGATGTCCCTAGAAGCTCTGGTTTGGCTCCTCTGAGCTGCCTCTTTTTCATGCACCTGTCCATCGTTATGGCATTTTTCAGTCTGCAAAGCCCATTTTCATAAACATTGTCTCATTTGCTAGTGACGTGTGAGGAATGGACTATTACAGCCACTTAACAGTAAGGAAGTTGAGGTTTCAGAGCAGTGAAGAGATTTGCCCAGAATCACACAGCTCATAAGAGGCAGTGCATGGATTTGAAACAGGCCTGACTCTAAGTCTCTTGCTTTTTCCAGTCACACATGGAGTTTATCAGTTCATCAACTCAGCTTCTTCTGGCAGGCAGGTGAAGGAAATGCACAGGGGAGAGGTCTCTGAGAGGGAGAGACAGTGGGCTGTGGCCCACTTCTTATTAACATGCAGAAAAAGGAAGAGAGAACTTTTGAAATGCAGAACGGCTATAGTACAGCCAGGGGAAGGGGCTGCAGGGGGTCAGGCAGTGAAAATCTAGACTCTCTGAGTTGCATAACGAGAGCCAGGAAGACAGGTCTGAAGGTTAAGTGCCCTTGCAAGATGACTGTGAGCCTCAGGAATCAACTCTTGGTCAGTTTGTCTGGGACCTGGGATTATCCACCCATCCATCCATATACTTACCTAACACACACCTGTACTATTAAAATGAGTAAAGTAGATCTGTTATGTAATATAGTATATAATGAGATAATCTCCAAGGCATACTGAGTGAAAGAAATCAGTGTGCACAATATGGTCCCATTCCCTTCATAAGATAAAAGGCTTAGGTGAAGATAAATATATGCTCATAAATGCATAGAAATTTTCCGGAAGGATACATAAACGGTTAACAGTAAGTGGCTGCTTCTGGAGAAGGAATAAAGGCTGAAATGTATTTCTTTAATAATTTCTTTTTTACCATGCAGTATATATATTTTTAAAGTAAACAAAACAAAAGGATTCAAAGAAAAGCATCTTTTACAGCTACAGCCTTTCCCAATAAAGCAAGTGGGTAGGTGGGGCCTCTTACCACCAAAGGGGTTGTCTCCTCCGAAGAACTCATGGAAAACCTTATCAGGGTTGCCGTGGAAGACGTAACCAGTGGTCCATGGGGTCTGGGATCCAAACTCCAGAGGAATCCCGCCCTTTAGGCCCTCCTCTCCAAACTTGTCATAGATGCCTCTCTTCACAGCTGTGGACACGTGTCACCTTGATGAGGGGGCTGGCGCTAGGGACTAAGATAGCTGCTGGGCTGGGAAGCAGGTGGATACAGGGTAGAGAGGAAGGGGCAAACCCAACCTTATTTCTAAAGTCTGGCACTCTTTGGAGGGAGACCCTAAAAGTTAGGGGTTTAATTTCATCGTGGGTGGATCTAGGTGTGATCCCATAACGCGGAGGAGAATGGGGAAAGGTGGAGACCTGCTGGGTGGCAGGGGGAAGAGGATTGAAGGAGAGATCTAGAGACTGAGGGTGAGGCTATCGCCCTAGAATTTGGCTAAACTCATCATCGTAGCTTCTGTTTTATTTGGGGTAAATAGAATCGTAGCACCTTGAAATTCTACAATCTAAGAATTCTAGAGCTGCCAAGTTCTAGAGCTTTCAAAGCCTAGAGTCTAAGGACTGTAAAGTCTTGAAAACTCAGGACTGGAGAAACCTTAGTGATCTGGCTATTCTTCTGCACAGCATCTGTGATTACAGTCTCCAGAACAAGCCCTCGGGGACGCACGCATGCACGTGGTGCCCCGGGGCAGAGGTGTGGCGGTGGGGGGGGGGGGGGGGGGGGGGAATCACTTTCTACACTCTTTTGGTTTCAGGAGATTCTTGAATTACCAGCCTCTCTCTGACCCTTGATAGACATGCCTTCCATGGAAAGGTGGCACTGGAGCTACTTGGTAATCTGGGAAGAGTAACTGGGGATGCCTGCCTCAGCCGCTTTCTTCCTTTGGCAGCAAGCATCTCACTGTGTGCACCCCTGCAGGGGACAGGTGGGGTGTGGAGTGTGGGAGACCTGCCCAGGTCCTGCTCTACTGACACTGGCTGAGCACATCATCTTAATCCAGGGGCTCTCCACGCTGCATCAACCTTAGTTTGTGACTATGGAGAGAAGCAGTTCATGCTGTTTTCCTTCTAAGTTTGCTCAGGCTCTAGGCAGGGAAGAGGAATGCTTTACTACCCAGAGACTTAACGAATGGTCTCGAAATAGAGGTGGGGCAGAGGAGATGGGTGGAATCACTCACGGTCGCTCAGCACATCATAGGCCTCTGCTATTTGCCTGAATGTCTCCGCTGAGGATGGCTCACTGGACTTCAGCGGGTGGTTCTTAAGGGCCAGTTTCCGGTACCTAGAGGAGGGAGGATTCATACAAGTCATAGCATTTGACATGGGCCTGAGGCGCAGACCATGGTCCAGAGCTGGCTCTGCTGTTCACTGCTTTGATGTTGCCAGCTATAAAATCAGGGCTGTGGTGGCCAGGGTGGTGCATTGCACAGATGCCCTTGAACAGAACCTAGTGGGTAGAAAGTGTAGCTGCCCGCCCTGGGTGTCTGTGCTGAGGCTACATTTCCCCAAGCTGCCCCAACCAGTGCCTAAGCGTGGTGGGGATATTGGTGCTGGCGCGTCCCCCTAGGACACAGGACCCCTCCAACGCACAACCTCTGCTTCAGGACGCCCATCTATCAGCCCAGCTACTTTTTTCCACACCACTCTGCAGCTCTCTCCATCCAGCCATTTCTTCCTGCTCCCCTTTCACAGGTATCAGACATGCACTGGGGTTTGAAGGTGCTGCCTGCATGCTCTTGCTCCCCCTTCACGTTTCCCCCAATACATTTCTCGCACATCTAATCCTGTCGTGATATCTGAACTTACACACAGGCTTCTTGGGAAGATCAGGTAAAATAAGGTGTCAAAGGGCCTGGTACAGAGAGGCACTGGCACACGTCAGGTCCCTTTACCATCTCTCACTTCTGTGCTCATTCGTTTCCCTGCTTCTGTATTACCCAATCCCAGCACTCAGTGATGCGATGCCTATTGTGTCTGAGAATCTGTATCATCAGTGTTCTGAGAGGAAAGAGTTGGCATGAACTGGGTGATTTGTGCAGAGTTTAATAAGGGACCACTCACCAAAGTGTAGGAGGTAGGGAGGATAACCATGCTGGACAGTGCTGTAGCCCAAGGCCAGGAGCCCTGAGTCACCCTGGCTACCCCTGAGCCTATAGGAGTGGGAAGGGAGAAATCCCACAAGAGTGTGTGTGGACGGGGCCCTTGGCAGGAGCTGTCATCTTCAGTTAAGGGATACCCAACCTGAAGGGCTCTCAGAGGAAGGGAGCTGGGAATAAATACCCCAGCCCCACTCTCCTCTTTGCCAATCACCTGCTGTGGGCTCTCTTTGGCTTTCATTTAGGAAGTCTGAGGGCCAGGGCATCTATTGATGTGGTTCAGATGGGCCAGCTTCCAGCGCAGAGAGCAGGATGCAGAAAGGCAGGGAGGGGGTCTGAAAGAGCCAAAGGAGGGGATCAGCACAACCCCCTGAGTGGCTCAGTACAAATCGGACCCCACATACCCTCCACTGGGTCAGAGTGCACTTCCTCTGCCCTGCTCACACCCTGCATGCTGGTGACCCCTCCCGCTGTTTCTCTTCTCACTCCACACACTATCTGTGCACAAGCTCGTCTATCCCAAGGCTTTGAGCATCACTCACTCGCTGACCACTCCCAAATTTCTATCTGAAACCAGGCCACTAAGCTCCAGACCTTGGCACCCAGCTGCCATCTTAGTATCTGCTCTCCAGTGTCCCACAGGCCCCACAAACTCAATGAACCCAGACAGAAACACATTTTCGTTCCTCAAGTTTTTGCCCATTTGCCCAGGCAATGAAGCCAAAACGCTGAGCATTATCAACTCCCAAGTTCTTCATCCCCTCCATTGCCAGCCCACCTGTCACCAGGGCATTTCAGTTTTTCTTTCTCCCCAGTGTTCTCTTCCTGCCCCTCATCCCGAGGACTATTGCAGAACCACGGCTTCCTGTTTCAGTGTTCTCCTTCTCCAGGTCTTTCCATGTGCTGCCACCAGATTGATTTGTCTTTCTTAATCTGATGCTTCTAAAATGCTCCCTGGCCAAATCACTCCACTGCCCAAATCCCTCCACTGGTTTCCCTTTGCCTTCAGCATAAAATCTGTATCTCTAAGATTCAAGCCTCTGCTTCCTTCTCTGGCCTTTTCACTCACAGCTCTCCCTCCCCACTCCCATGGCCTCTCCTGCCCTTCTGGCCAGGCTCCAAACTCCCTACAATGCATTGCTCAGGTCTTTGACATTCTACTCCCATCCCTTGTAACATCCACCACTCTCCAGACCCTCCCATCTCCCCCTGGCACATTTTCATTCATCTTTCAACAATCAGCTCAGGGCTCAACTCCTCCAGGATGCCCTCCCTGACTGCAGTCTCCATTCTAGGTTAGACTCCCCTTCCCGAGTCCCCAGTGCCTTTGATCACTAAACTTAGCACTTGGCACTCCAGTTGTTTGTTGACTGGTTTGTCTCTCCCACTAGCCTGGGTTCCTTGAGTTGCTGTGTCTACTTCTCTGTGTCCCTGGTGCCTAGCACTGAGCAGCAGTGAGGTAATGAATGACACGAACTAACTGTCCCACAAGGCAGCCCATCTCACCATGGGACCCCTCTGACTTTTAAGCAACATCTCATCTTAGTGAGTGAGATCTGCTGTCCTATGACTCTGAAGGTTCTGATTCGGCCCCTGGAGGCCTTACAGAGATTATCTACATTGTCTACTTTCAGAAACTTAAAGACAATTGTCATCACTTCCCTGAGACACTGAAACTAGCCCTCTCCGTTACAAAGGTCAAAGTCAGGTATGGGGAGAATTCCAAGTAAGTTCTATCAATAAGGAAAGGTAAGTAGGTTTGAGAAGAGCCTTATTTTTCATATAAACTTGAGTGGTTTCTGTGGAGTTTTTTGTCTCATTTGTTTTAGTGAGAGAGAGAGTGTGTGTTGGGGGGGGGGGTGCAGTGGCAGAGGGAGAGAATCTTAAGCAGGCTCTCCACCCAGTGCAGAGACCAACAGGGGGTTTGATCCCATGACCCTGAGATCATGACCAAGCCGAAATCAAGAGTTGGATGCTCAACCGAGCCAACCAGGCACCCCTAAACTTGAGTGGTTTTAAGATTTGCCCTGCAGTGCCCTCACTCTGTTTCCCTGAGTGGGCAAGATGGAGTGGAGTCACAGCTTGGATGCAGCAGGGTAGGCTTAATGAGAGCTACTGAGAAGGTTAATAGCTAGGCAATTAGGAATCATTGTGGTGCTTCTATTCATTATATACATTTAGCATTAAAAAAAAATTT